TCTAGTGACTTATTTGTTGAATGCTATCCTGGCGCACCTGCCCGACTATATCTTGCTTCAAACTCACAACATCTAACACCTTTGTGGGTACAGAACAATGCCGAGGCCTAGGCTACGTGCATAGCACTACCATCCTCACGCAATGTGTATACTCTGAGTTCACTGGAACTGGCGAGACCATTTTTGCCCGCTCCTTTACTATGCTGCACCGGGCAAATACTTCAGCATGCCACAGTGAACGGAAATCACTGAGAAGCCTGACCGATAGGAATATCAACCTGTGTAAACTTGTACACATGTATGAACATCAAGGTGGATGCTCAACCTGCAAACAAGGTGCGGGACGTTGTACTGAGCCTTGGTTCAGCGATCGAGAAAACGATATCTACATATGTAGAACACCGAAAGCACGGCTCCAACAAAATGTTCTTGTTGCGCCCTGATCATTGAACTCAGTAGTTCATCGAATCATCGGTGCGCCTGGCAAACACGACAATCGTTTCACATGCGTACTTTTCACCCCCATCCGCCCTGGCACATTCCCCCACCCTGTCCCACCCGTCTCGCCTGACAACGCACCGATGCAGGCTTTAGCTTTCGTGCACTTTCTGTGGAACGATTGCGCTGCGAAGGCGTGGCAAAATTCTGTGAAGGCCGTATACGGAAGCCCAGATGGCTTCGTAGAAGAGCTGCTCCATGCGCTAAGTCGATCTCAGTCGACGACAGCATGCAGGCAGGTAGCAATCCAGGTTCCACCACGCTCAGTGCGGCGACGATCCAAGTAGCGGGTCACCGGGTTGGCGTTCTCCTGCGGGGGCATAAACAGGACTCATAGGCCCGTAGGGCGGTTGTTCAACCTCACTCTATGGCTTTACCTGGGCCACCTCTTTGATGAACAACCCATGTAAGCAATGAGATCGTGTTCTTCTTTGGACGCTGCCCTCCTCGCCATAGCAATGTACAAAAGAGGCCAGTGCTAGTGTCTGCATGTTTCCCCGGTGCCCTCTGTACGCCCCGTGCCGCTTGCTGAGGCAGGAGCCCCCCTGCACGTGGTCATTTTCGACTTGCAACCCAGCACTTGCAACTCGCTATACAACCTATAGTTAAAGCATGACTCTTCGTAAGTTGTCAAGACCTGTTCTAACACGTTCCCCAGATGAAAGTCGACATCCGGTGGCCGAAAATCATCGCTGGAACGCACCTGGGTGGCCTTCTGTCCCATGGCCCAGACATGCCCTTTGGGCTCGGCGAAGCAGGGAACACTTGCACGGCCACAGTGGAACTCAACATGCAGAATCTTGGAGTGAGGAGGAGCGCGGGGGCTGCGCGAGCGTGAGCCCTGGGTGCGGACACGGTGCATACATTCGCAGACACCCTTCTCGACTGCAATGATGCTAGTAAGTATCCAACCCAACATGCGGAAGGCATGGGGAGAGCAGCAGCAGCAGCACAACACGACGCCTAGGCTCCGACTTGATACTGGGGTCTGGTGCCACGCATGACAATGCCCGGTTGCACTGTACGTCTGACTTTTTGGATGCTGCCGGTCCTGACGTTCACGCTCGCGGTTTGCCTGCATCCACTCGACAGTATATCGCTTCGGCCTGACAGCAGCAAGATAACGCCCAGCAAATCACAGGGCAAACTGCACCGTAAATCTCACTGGAGCATACTACGACATTTGATTCATGTGACTCTGTTTGCGGTGCGCACATGCCGAAGTAACTCATGAGAAGTCGATTTGCAGTGTGGGGATGGCTTCGGGACAGCCGGCCTGATCCCAACGCTGCCCGCATTCTGGAAGAAAGTCTGGCAACGGGCTCGCACATGCATGTGTAGCGTGCAAACAGGAACTGACGCATGAGCCGCCAGTCTCATGCAGACTGAAACATCATCAACTGCCCAATCTCTCTGCTCTCTCTCTTTTGCGGTAGCTTCTGTCCCAAAAACACCAAAGCAAATCGGCAGACTCACATGCATGCCTATGAAATCAAGGTAGCGTTTCGCCAGGAGGGTGTTTAGATCAAGCACTCGCGCGCGCTGCAAAGGCATCTTGAGTCCCGGAGATTCGTCCCATCCCACGTCCCTGAAAGGCCAAGCCCCCGGCTGTTGCGATCTTAGATGCGGCATGAAGGCTGCTTACTTTGGAGCGGGTTTAGGGTTTAGGGTTTAAAGTTTGGGGCTTAGGGGTGGGGGTCGAGTCCAGACTGGCGAGGTTGCAGGTTGAAGGCCAGAGTTCACGGTGGATTTTGGGGGGCAAGGGTGCAAGGGCCATCCGAAGGCGGGGTGCTCATGCAACTGGTCGCTTCTTCGAACTCACGAAATGTCCGCCGTTGAAAGATGATGCTACCTCATGTCTCTCCTGCAAACATGCAAAGAGGCAATGCATACCCACGCCTTCCGCGAAGGCCCTACAAGCCAAGAGAAGCAGCTGTTCCATTCCAAGAGCTGCAGTGAACTACACCCAGAATCATGACTCAACCTCCCTCAACCTCTTGTACTGCATACTTGAAGATCGCTGCCACGTGGCGATGGCAAACAGGCACATGATCGGCGAGGCAACCCATAGCCTGGGAAGCATCCGGCTTCTTTTTGCGGCTTGCATGGGCTGAATGATGCGGATGAAGGCCCAAACTTGCTACCTTCGCAAGTGACCCCTGCATTCGTGATATCAGAAGATGCCAATATAGCAATGTAAGAATAAGAAAAAGAAAAACACTTGTAGTATGTAACTTGTCTTCAATCAGACAGAAACCGACGGTGTTCTTGCGCCACGGAGGGGCAGTGTTTGAGGTTGTGCTGCACCGTTCTTTCAAGCAAGGCTCTTTCAAGCCATGTCATGTCCAACCTCAAGACTACTCCTAGTGCAAAAATGGCCTAACAAAAGCCCTGCCAGGCCAGACTTTTTTTCACCCTCAGCCCTGGAAAGAGGCCCAACGTGGGAGTCTTCAAGTCACTCAGCTTTTGATCAATTACCCCCCCAACACATCACAAGACCCTGGGCTTAGGGTTTAGGGTGTAGGTGTTAAACATGAAGAAGTAGTTTTTGAAGTTATCAGGAAGCGTGTGCTCTGCGGCAAGGACACGGGAAGCTCTGCAGCCATGCCCAGTATGGAGGATAGTCCTGGTGCATTTGGTTTGGGGGCTTCTCTCGCAATGAGCCAAGTACTTCTGGGATTAGGACGTCAATCCCTGTATAGTTCATATTTTTTCGGCGGATGCTGACAGGGGAGCATGTGGATTCGGGCTTGCATGATTTGAACTGAACTTGTGACCCGCGCATGCAGGATTGGGATCTCGGCCTTCGTGGGTTCCTGTGCGCGCTACACAAGGGCTGTGAATTCTGCACTTTCCTGAAAGCAGAACATGTTGAGGGCGCTGTTTGATGCTTGATTGCTGAGGCGCTGCTTGGTTTTGAGTCTGAGAATTTCAGCTCCTCCCTTGCTGAAGACATGGGCCACAAGCCGCCCAAGCCAACATGAAAAACTCTGAACTATTGGGATGGCTGCGGGGTCATGGTCTCTATTCAAGACCCCCAGCAAAAACCCCAAAAGTCATACAGAGCAACTGGTGGGCTGGTTCTAGCATTGCCAGCATCTGAACTGTCGGGTTCGGGATGTTCCACCTTCACGTGAGGGCTTCGCTTAGTGTGCGGGGGCTTGTAAAAAGTTAGCTCGTCACTGTTTGCCATTTGCTGCCTGCCCTTCTGCAGTCTCCGTCTTCAAGCTGTAAGCTTCTGGGAGTCTGGATTTGTCTGTGAGGGTCTGGCAACATCTCTAGCTTTGGCACTTCTTTCGATCTGACTGGAAAGAGAAAAGTTGTGGAGGCGATGGGCACAGCCCCCTCTACAAAGCAAGAAGGCCACGTGTCCAGTTAAGGAGCTCGAGAAACAATGCACCTGGACAAGGTGTGGTCAACAACAGTCTACAGGGTAGAGCAGGGTCAGGACAAGTTCAGCATGACGCAACAAAGTCTCACGGAAGAATCAGGCGACAAGTCGAACCGCCACAGGGTCGACAAAACGTTGTGAAGTACTGGGATTTGTGGCGCTCTTGCCTTGCAAGTAATGCTCATGCGGGCAAAGTGTCCTAAACAAGCTTCAGGGCTTCCGATTTGGGTTGAAGGCCTGGTGCAGTGGATGGAGCGTGTGCGATTTAAGAAGACACAGGTATCGTCGAACCCACCCTGCGTGCCCATCCGTCCTGCGCAAACTCACCGTAGTAGACGGTGTGGAATCTGAGTGGACAAAGGCTATGGGACTTCGGCCGGTGCTGTTGCCAGGCCAAACTGTCAGTGGGCTCTCACAGCAGCGAAATGATGGTGCACGATCCAGTAGCAAATCTTGCGTCTGCTCTAATATCCAGCAAATCCGTGGATGTCCTCTGCTGTAAGATGTGAAGCTGTGACCGCTGTGACCCTCAACTTCAATAAGCTTTGTGACGACTTGTATCGTTGGCGCAGGGTCTCGGCAGCCAGCTCTCAACCGACCCTTGACGCCGACAGCCAAATAGTACCGCTGGGGATTCGGCATGCCGGCAGGCATCAGCACCCAGTGCTCCCAGTCCTCCGGACGTCATTGAAAGTTCACTCCATCGTTTTCCAGTGTATTTGCCGGTTGGTTCGAGTAACATGCAGAAGTATCTGTCTACTACAGGACAATCTGATTTCACAAGCTAACCCAACGCTCGCGGTCTTTAGCGGAATTCGGGCTGGCTCACGCGGGTAAAACCCGAGACCCCACCCGGACCCGTCCAAACGTTTTCAACTTCATCTCTCCGCCCACCCCTGCCCAGTTGCCACAATTCCCTCGAGTATAGACCTTGCACACTCGGAATTATTTTGTGGTTCCTGCAGTCGGGGCTGATGCAGCTGTGCCCCCCAAAAGCTCCAACTGAAATGAGTTGTTCCTGAAAGCCTGACATCCTGGTACAAAAGCCAGGTCAGGAGTAAGGTCAGGGTTTAGGAGTTCAGGGCCCTCATGGGCCCTCTCAGGCGCCGGCGTAGCCGTGGTCCCAAACTGGCTGATGAAGCGGGTACCTGGAAAGCGTGGCCAGCCTTCTATGAGCATGTAGATCTTGTACTGTAGCCGAGGAAAAACCACAAAATCCAACAAGCAGCTTCAGGCAACAAACTGTTCCAGTATTGAGAAGCAACCTGCACTGAGCAAGTCCTGAAGACGCGCTGATTTGCATGGCGGTTTTGTAGTGGTTTGACGCCAGGCCTTCATGACCCCCACTTCCAACACCCCATGCTCGCATTTCCCAGAAGAAGGTTACAGCAGAAACTCAAGAGCCCAGACTACTCCGAACGTCGAACCTTGTAGCTGAGTCATAGAAATTCGTTAAATCTCCATTGAACTCCAAGCCCTCGGACAATACATACTCTGGGGGTTGACGATAATAGGGGTACATTATCGGGGTCCTTACGAGAAAGGGTCCTTGCTATAAGGGCTATATTTGGGTCCCTTAAAACCGCAAACCCCCATAATGTTGACTTCACATTAGGAATTCCCGCCGCAATTATAAAATCCAGCTGCCAGAAAACAATAATGTAGCCCGCCACAATTATAAAATCCAGCCCGGAATATTCTTCTAAAAGTGATCCCCCAGAAGCTCGCAGTAGAGGCTCACTTAGCCCACTGTGGTGGCACCGGGACAGCTAGACCTACCAGGATTGAGGCGGATATTATTGAGGAGGCCCTGGCCGGAGAGATTGATCAATGAAGGGGGGGGGGGGATTTATTAATGCGAAGTCAACATTATCCAAAACGCCAAGCTCAGAAACCCTCACAGGGCAGGCACTTCTTCGGAGTGCCATCCGGCTCGAACTCCGGGGGAGGGGGCGGCGGGATGTGCAGGAACCTCGCTCAGAGTCTGCTTCATGAATTTGAGCTCTCCACTGTGGGACAGAATGGGTGCTTGCGGTTTCCACACGAGCATTCGCCGAGTTTGGGGGCCCAGCGGTGGCGAACCGCCGAGACGTGCGGCGGAGGTCGCCACCTTACGCAGCGGCGACAGCATTTTGGGGTTGTATGAAAGCCCCGTTTTAAATCTATTCATCCGTTCTAGGGTTATCGTTTTTTCTTGATTATCGTTTAGAGGGTGTTGGGAACAACTTACAACTTCATGTCTTAGAACAGATCATTTCGTTGATCGTAGTACAAGCTTAGTACTGGAGCCGCCATCCCGTGAGCCGGCTGGCTTTTCATTGATTTTCAGTACAAGATAGTACAAGCTTAGTACGGGAACCGCCGTCCCAGTGAGCGGGCTGGATTACGGCACGTATATGAACTACTTGTGGAGTTGGTCGTTCTTACCCCCCGCGGTTTGCCCACCTCCACATGGAACGACTTCTCGAAAGATCGTGCGGCAGCTTTTGGAAATATCCAGCGGCTACCGGACTTCTGTCTGGTAAGAACAGGGGTACTGCAATCACATCGCAAGGTCGCATGTCAGACAACATAGGCTGTTGGTTTGGGGTTTAGGGTTCAGGACCGTTTAGGGACTGCATCATGAGCAACTAACGAAGGGTTGTCGTCGATGCTTATTGTTTAAGAACCTTGGTTCTGTTGCTCATGCCCAGCATCGAGCCACCCAATTGTTCGTTAACCATCGGGACTCCTGATATTTGTTCTTCTATTGTAGGTGTTTGCGCTTGGCGTGAATGACCTTGAAAGACCCGAGCACAAGCTTTCAAGGAAGATGCGTGACAACGAATGTGCACACACACACACACCATAAGCCTCAAGACCCAAGCTCCGAGCAAGATTCCCCGATCTTTATCGAACCCTGCGCAGCTCTCAGCCTGAGATAACTTTGACATACAGCAGCAGAAAAAACCGGACTTGAACCCAAAAAACCTCACCAGCCACCATGCGCCCTGCAGCTGGGGCCGGAACTCCACGGAAGCCCGGAGAGACCAGACGAGCCCGAGCAGCTCGCACCAACAAAGTCATGGCTCACCTGCACACGTGTTTTCATATGCGCTTCCTGTTAGGACTCGGCTTTTCAGCCCGTGCAGTCATTCTGTGCAATTACCTTTCAGGGTCGAGGAGTAGTGGGGCTTAGCCATACTGCTTTCGCGGCTACTCATTTCTGATTTCTTCCGGGTAAAGATGGGACTTTCCGGCCGTCGCCCCCTTCCCATCTTATGACGGTACCATGTAAGGGCCCATCCCCCCCACACGTCGATCACAACCAGGCACAGCTTGGGCCTGAAAACATGATCGCTGCTCTCTAGCGGCGGCAACAGGGAGAAGCACAAAAACCCTAAACCCTAAACCCTAAACCCTAAACCCTAAACCCTAAACCCTAAACCCTAAACCCTAAAATTCCAAGAACAGCTTCCAACACCAAAAGTATCAAGGTCCGTTACAAGAAGGTTCCTGGAAAGAACGGCAGATTGGGCACCTGATGCGGCCACGCGCACTGGGCAGCTGTTTGAAAGCTTCGTGAAGCTGAGCCCAAAATGCGGCGTTCTCAACTGTTCCAAGCCAGAAACCCTAAACCCTAAACCCTAAACCCTAAACCCCAAACCCCAAACCCTAAACCCTAACTAAACCCTTCTGGCCCACAAGGCTTCGCTTATAGGACCCCAGTTGGGGATCCTGATGCGTGCAACCAAGGCCTCACTTCTTCCTATCCAGGGTGTGGTCATGAGGACTTCCAGAGACATCTGCATAAAGTAATGATTAGAACAGGGTTTTGGGGGGGGGGGGGGGGTAAAATTCTAGTAAAACTACAAAGGGACCATAAGGGAACACGATTAGTAACTATTCCGCGGACCCCTATATTCCCCCTCCAAACATGTATGCTCTTGAAGTTCCAAGGCCCCAAAGCCCTCGACCAGGTGCTTCATCTCCTTGATGGGCAACCCATTCAAAGTTGGCTTGAACCTTTTCCTTGATAAGACTTTCTTGACAGAAGTCGAGCCTAAACCCCCTGGTTCTTAGTAGGGAATGAGGGAATGAAGGCCCTACATATACCCTTAAAGGGATTATATAGGGCCCTCATTCCCTCATTCCCTACTAAGAACCAGCCAGTAAACCCAATCCTCTGAACTCGGTCAGAAACCTGAATTGGCTGCGCACGTGGACTGCACGGCGTCTGGCAAGCCAAGGACCTGTGTTGCAGGAGTTTAGGGTTTAGGATTCAGGGGTTTTTGCAGGAGTTTAGAGTTTAGGGATGTTTAGGGCCAATGAGGGCCTAGAAGCTAAACCTCTTTTGCAAGGCTTTGGGGCGGCTACAGGCTCCAGTTGCAGGCGCCTGAGCCTTCAGCAGCAGAAAGTGTGCTTGACGGCATGTGCGCCCTGGACATTGCACCCTTCCTCCGACATCGGACAAACTTGAAACATTTGAAAGCCGGCTTTCCGCCAAGTCTAGAAACAAATCTGATCTCCTGGCCGCCTTGAGCTTCAACACAGGTACCCGGAAATCGTCCGAATCTCCGAAAGCCCGAAACCCTAAGCCCTCTAAATCCTCAACCCTAAGCCCTAAAACCCTAAGCCCTCTAACTCCTCAACCCTAAACCCATTTTCCAGTCATCCTAAGCCCCAGAGGGCCCGGCCCAACTAGGAAAGGGCTGAGAGCATTGGAGCGCTTCCACAAAGGCCTCTGACAGCTGGACGTAGTGAAGGCTTGACACACTTCTTGCGCAGTCTACAAGTTTTCTTCGGTCACGGTGGGTGACTTCGGTGCCAACGTTGCTGACCATTGGAGATTTGATTTAGAAGAACCCAACGACTTTCACTACCAGTTTTTGACGTCTGAAGCTAGCTTCCGCTTCACGGGGCAGTCTTGCATTGTCAGCTCCCGGCGTGGAATCGTTAAACGTGGAATGCGTTTCACTGCTGTTTGGGACCCTGAACGAAACGATACCACAACCTCAAGCAACTTCGTGGAGCCCTTGCCTCCATGTTCTGCAACCTTACAGTCCGGTATTTGTGCCCAAAATGTTCACGTGTCGATCCTAAACCGATATTTTCATCCTGACCCGTCAACCTGACCCGTCAACCTGCGCGAAGTGGATGCAGTTGCGGCTGACAGGATGGTACCTGCAAGGCATTGGGCATTTCCGGAAAAATTGAGAGGAATCTGAAATCTTGTGAAGCGCTCTGGTTAGCTTTCCTCTAAATCCAGTCTTCTGGCTTAGTCAATCTTGGGATTGGCTTAGGACTTGAGACTTCGAGCCGCCGAGCACACTTCTGTCCATGAGAGAGCAAAGAGTCAAACAGGATCGAAAGATATCCTTAACGCCTAGGGACGGGAAGCGGGCTTGAACAATGGCGGGTTGTTGGGCATTCTTGCCGGTTTTTTTTTGCTGACTCGGTGCTGGGAAGCTATAAATCCCACTAAGGAAAGGTAGGTACAAGTTGCAAGGTACGCTGACGCTCGGCAGGAGGGATTGTTCAGCAACAGGCGTTCCCATCCGTCGCTTTTTACGTGGCTAGGGAAATCCATCTCAAATCGCGCCGACCGCCAAGATAATGACACAAGGGCTTCGGATAAACTTGGCATCACTGACAGCCAAGATCAAATGGTCATTGAAGGCCGGCAGATGTTCCGCTCTGACAACAACCTTGGCCTTTTGACATGTTCTCAGTTCTCAATTTCCCCGATGCAAGAACCTTTTGCCGCACACAAGCTGCAAATGGCGCACGAACTTGCCGGCCAGTGATCTACGAGTTGCCCGAGGACCTCGTCGTGCAGCATGCATGGGTCGAGAATTGCGTTGAACTGCACGAACGTACTCATGATGTTGCACTTCCTGACCTAGGACTAGACAGCAGGAGAAGCAATCCACTCTCATTCCGAAGTCCAGTATCATTTGCTCGTTCTGCGAAACCGAACTCACTCAGTTCAACTCACCTTTTCAAGCCTGACGTTTCACCGTTGTGTAAACTTGTTTTCGTTCCTGCGGATTAAATGCCCCCTCCCCCCCTCCCCGGACCCCCTGCTCACTCCCCAAACACACTTCCGTGCTGCAAAAAAACATCTCCGAGTCCCGAATGCCCCAGCGACTGGACTATTGCAACACAACATTCACTTCTTCCCAATCTTGACCAGCCACTGATATCAACAATCTTCGCCTGAAAGCTATACAGCAACTCCCGAATCTTGCAGCAGCTTGCAGAAACGTCAACATTGACCTACTTGCAGTCCAACTTCCCCAGCCCAAAAGTAAAGCAACTTCTCTCTTGGTATTAGAGGCGCTTCTTGACTTGGGATTTTGCAGAATGCAGGATCAGGAATCATCCAATATCAGGCTGACACCAAAAGATTGAAGTTTGTTACGCCAGGCCAAATCAAATACAGCCTACAGCTTTTTCTCATCGAAAGCAAAACCGCGTCAAAACATGGAACTTACGAGCCTATGCATCGAATTGCGTTCCGAAAAACCGCGCCCGAAAACAGAGTTTACAGGCACCGTCGCCGTGTTGTAGTCGCACTGCTGACAGCGTGCTGAGCACGCGGCACTTCGAATCTGCATGTCAGTCAGCTCCGATCGGCCCAAACATATAGACTCACTGTAGACGTGGACCTGGCTGTTGAGATGAAGACTCCCGACATGCCAAAGATAGTGCGTAATTACAGGATACCAAGCTGTTCACCGTCCAGCTCCTGCTTAAACACGAGGGTTTCGAACGCCATCATGCATACTGCCAGCAGTGCTTGGACGACATGAGCAACCCGAAAAATTAAGTATATGGACGTCGACTCCATGTCCAATACAGTCGGTATGTAAGCAGCTCAATAGCTACCGGTAGGAACACAGCTCGTAATAATTGTAGTGTTTGGAATGGTGACTCTCTTTGGGAAACCTCGGTACCAGTCAAGTCAAGGATAACACACACCAAACATGTCGAACCCAACGCTGCAAAGAAACCATCACACGGAAGATCTGACCTCACGCAGGCTAAGCCATCCCAAATGGGAGCGTGTTGCTGTTCCTGGAAGTGGTCCCATGACTGGTGTCTGCAACATTCTGCAAAGCACAGTTAACTCAACACCAGAACTGCCTTACCTACAACAAGTAGGCTCTGCATTGACACAAGCATGCAAGCCACAACTGGCAAAATGCAACGTCGGAAGAACACAATTGCGACGTGACGTCGACCCACGCGGTTTCGGCTTCGACAGTGCCAATGACCAATGGTTCGCGATGAGCAGCGCAGCTTTCACCGCAATCTTTGAAGGCTTTAGAGCCTTGGAAATTCTGAGCTCCAGGACCAGAAGTGAACAAACAACAGCTAACTCTTGGCTGAGAACTGTTGTTTTTGGACAATCTGGCTGTGTTGCCTGGAAGGTCGGACATGGTCGGACTGTTCGAGAATTCATGGAAACACAGAGAATGCTTCTCAAGCCTTAATAGACTGATAATACTTTTGAAAACAATAGTTCTCATATTCATAATGCTATTAATAATAATATTAATAATGATAATACCATGCCAAACTCTACAAGTGTGTAGCGTTTGCAGTGTCCACAGATTGGTCCCCACGACTCGGGCCCGCTATGGCCTTGACTCTACCTGCTTGTTGCTGTGCTGCACATCGTCTCACCCAGTGACGTACAGGCCAGTCTGAGTCTTGCATGACACATGACATACTAGTTTTGATACTGGTAGCCCTGACGTTATCGTTCCAAAATCGCATCGAACGACAATCCCTTTGGAAGACCAACACTGCTCGCAAACCCTCCAGACCTCTACACTCAGTCCATGTCATGAGAACTACAGGAACTTTCACGAAGGAACAACACAAACCATGTGGCACAAACCCTGCAGATTCCTACAAACTGTACCAGCGAGTACCTTCAAGTTCCTGCCTGATGTGCTCGTGGCCTCATCCAGACGATGCCCGATTCTGCGCACACAAGCCATTGGCGATATGAGGGGATGGACTTTGGGGCAAGGCCCTTCAGTGTGGAATTTGCTTGATAATATACAAGAACTCAT